CATTTTCTAGATGATCAGGTAAATGAACGAATTATGATATGAAAATTGGACACATAATAAAAATTGTTGAGACCATCAAAATCACTAAGTTTCAGCCTTACCACCCATACATGTGATTTTATAAAATTAATACAAGTTTTTGGAAAAAATAAGTATGCATCTAATTGACCAATCAAATCAATGAATCTGACCCTAATATTTTTATGAAGGTAAATATAGCATTCTGAGAGTGTCATATAAAAATTCATGCATAAACAATAATCCAACGAATTATGATAATTATTCTAAGTTTCAACAGAATACACGTTTTTAACAAAAACTCAAGAAAATGAATTTAACAATTACTGGGACTTTGACACCATCAAATATCATATGAAATAAGCACTCTGACCAAGTTTCATGAATTAACATCAAGAATTCAATTTTTCATGAATTTTATGAGATTCTGCAAATTTTAACAAATAATTATTTACTCAGACAAATGACCTCCAAACATTATGAAAGTAGTACACAAGGTAAAACACATCAGGGGAGAAACATATCCAAATTTCATGATTTTGGGGAAGCAATACAATTTATCACGTATTTAACAAGTTGCAGCAGACACATCAACTTCAAAAATTCATAACTTGAAAAATATAATTCCAAATTGAACAAAGTCAAAACCATTATGATCAGGACACAAAGATGTTCCATATTTCAAGAGATTTCTACGAGATAGTCTCAGATCATAAGGGTTTTGAATTAATCCTTATAGATCCAAAACACCACACTACATAAAATAACAATATGAATAACAATTAATCCAAATCATTCCATTTAATCATGCTTATATATTATTCCAGTAATATAACACATAATCTCATGGGATTTGAAGTTTAGTAAAAAGAAAATTACCAAACACCAAAGGGGAGAAATAAACGAGGTTCGGTTTCGGAAAGGCTCGTTGACGTTCAAGTCCTAAGGGAGGGGAAATCATCCGCGTGCTCGGCGTTCGAAGGTGGCTCGCACGAGAGGTTGGCAACCATAGGTGGCGGAGGGCTGGTCGGAGAGATAGGATGACGGCCAGGTGTTGCGGCGGAACACGGTGGTCGAAGGCGGCTCGCGGGTGGCGATTTTGGCTGCGTGTGCGGAGGAGTCGGGCGAGGCAACGTTTCCAATGGTCGAGCGTGGCTGAGGGTTATCTCCGGCGAGATGACGAGAGGAGGATGAGGAGGAGAAAGAAGCTCTGAATTTTGGGAAAGATGGAGAGTGGAGGAGAAAAAACCGAGAGAGATAGAGTGAAGGAGAGAAAGAGGGTAATCTTCCCTTTTTAATAGCAAGTCAAAATGTAACTCCCAAGACTTGGTCAAGTTCATAATGAGGGAATAAGAGCTGATTTTATGGGATGAGATGTTACAATTTAAATTCAAAATTTAAAGATAAGCCTTGCATGCATGGGAACATGAGGGCGGGGCGGGCGGATTGGACCGTGCGGGCGCGGACCGGCTGGGCGCTCAAGCGGGCGGGCGCGTGGGCTACGTTTCATGCGCGGGCTGAGGAAAAAGCCCGATTGCTAAAATGCGTTCGAACTTTAAAAACCCGACTAGGCTCAATGCTCGATTCGATCAACAATATATATATATATACAATTCAGCTCGGTCATAAAAATTTAATTACTAAAACATTTAGACAATTACTATCACATAATCAAATAAAATACTAATCGAGCACGAAATAAATAATCTCGGACAAAATAAAATAAAATAAAATAAAATAAATAATACCAAATAAATTCGGAAAAAATGGGGCGCTACATCTTGAGTGTTGCATCGAGTCTAATTTGACATTGAGTTGGGAGAAGTCGTGTTAGGGCATATTGTGTCTAGTCAGGGTATAGAAGTCGATAAAGCGAAGGTCGATGTGATTGAAAAACTACCCCCTCCCGTGAATGTGAAAGGTGCTAGAAGTTTCTTGGGTCACGCCGGATTTTATAGGAGATTCATCAAAGATTTTTCAAAAATTAGCCAACCATTGTGTCATTTGCTTGTTAATGATGTGCCATTTGTGTTTGATGATGCATGTTTAGATGCTTTCGATAAATTGAAAAATAAGCTTGTGACTGCGCCTATTGTTATTGCTCCGGATTGGTTGTTACCCTTTGAGATTATGTGTGATGCGTCAAATCTTGCGGTTGGATCCGTCTTGGGCCAACGAGTTGATAAATTACTTCGTGTAATTTATTATGCTAGTTTGACCCTAAACGGCGCCGAATTAAATTATACTACCACCGAAAAAGAACTTTTAGCCGTAGTATTTTCTCTTGAGAAGTTTTGATCTTACATTTTGGGATCGAAAGTGATTGTTCATTCCGACCATGCGGCTCTTAGGTATCTTTTGATCAAAACTCAATCGAAACCTAGACTTATTTGGTGGATTTTACTTTTACAAGAATTTGGCGTCGAAATTCAAGATAGAAAGGGTTGTGAAAATATTGTGGCGGATCACTTGTCTCGCATTGTTCTTCTGATTCTTCACTTGCATTGCATGAGCATGTTAGTATTAATGATGATTTTCCATATAAGCAAGTGGGTGCAGTAACTAGTCATCCATGGTATGCAGACATAGTGAACTATTTATCCGACGGAGTTTTGTTGCCTAACCTCTCTTCCCAAGAGAGGAAACAATTTTTTTTTATGTACATGAGCTATTTTTGGGACGACCCGTTCCTTTACAAGACGGGAAAAGATGAGGTTCTTCGGAGGTGGTGCCCGAAGAGGAGCAAACGGACGTTCTTGCCTTTTGCCACGAGCTCCATTGCGGAGGCCACTTTGGAGGTCGAAAGACCGCCTTTAAGGTCCTCCAATCAGGTTTATTTTGGCCTACTATTTTTAGTGATGCTCATAATTTTCGTAAATCTTGTGACCGTTGTCAAAGAATTGTGAATATCGGTTCTAGAAATGAAATGCCACTCGTTAACAATCTTCAAGTGGAAATTTTTTATGTTTGGGGCATTGATTTTGTGGGACCCTTTCCCAAATCCTTTGGTTTCGAGTATATTTTGCTTGCCATTGATTATGTGTCCAAGTGGGTCGAGGCTATCCCCACAAGGACATGCGACGCTAACGTAGTGATCAAGTTTTTGCAAGGTAATATTTTGAGCAGGTTTGGATTTCCACGGGCCATCGTGAGTGACGGAGGCAAGCACTTTTGCAACCGCATATTCGAGAAGTTGATGAAGAAGTACAGTATATCGCACAAGGTGGCGACCCCCTACCATCCACAAACATCGGGCCAAGCGGAGACGAGCAACAAGCAAATTAAAACCATTCTTGAGAAAACGGTGAACTCGTCCTGGAAAGATTGGTCCTATCGACTCGACGACGCATTATGGACCCAACGGACAACATATAAAGGAGTTCTGGGGATGAGCCCATTTCGGCTCGTCTATGGGAAGGCATGCCACCTCCCGGTCGAGATTGAGCACAAAGCATTTTGGGCGATAAATAAGATGAACTTTGACCTTGATGCCTCTGAAAGAGAGAATGTTACAGCTCTTGAAACTCGAAGAATTGAGGAACGAGGCATACGAGAATTCGAAAATTTACAAGGACAAGGTCAAACGACTTCATGATGCTCGTGTTATTCGGAAGGAGTTGGTACCGGCATGTAAATTCTCCTCTTTAATTCCCGACTTCGTCTATTTTCGGGAAAACTTAAGTCTCGATGGAGTGGCCCATTTGTTGTTGACGAAGTTTTATCTTTCTAGGCAGTTCGACTTCGAAACCAATCTATCGGGGAATCATTTGTTGTGAACGGACAAAGAGTCAAGCCCTACTTTGGAGGAGAAGTCGAAACGAAACACGTCGAGACCGTTGATCTCGGCGAACCACAGTATACTTGATCGCGAGAGTGCCGAGCTCCCGGCAATAAATCGAGCAACCTTGTACATATTATTATATATCTATATTTATATATATATAAAAAAAATATATAAAATCGATGGTTACCGCCGCTAACCCACCTTAGAGCCGCTAAGGCGAAAATGTTAGTGGCGCTATCAAGAGATAGCGAAGCCAGAGAGTTTGCTCGTTTTTAGTTAGCGGCGCTATCCGCGCATAGCGCCGGCTAACCCCCCAGACTTCATTAAAAAAAAAAATCGACCTCGGTCCTTCATTTCTCACACAATCGACCCTCTCTCGAGCACTCATCCTCCGCGACCACAATCCGACCACCGACCTTCACTCTTCATATCCGGCGAACAATCCGACCACCAACCTCCGGCAACCTCACCTCAACACTCTCCAGCCACGAACCTCTGTCAATCAACCACCAACGCGCTTATCTCTCCCTCGTCGGCCACGTTCGAACAAGCTACGACCATCCCAATTTCCAGCCAATCGACTTGCTCCGTCAACCACCACCGTTCATCCACTCACCTGCCAAGTCCACTGCTGACTGCTCCGTCGACCACCACCGTCCATCCACTCTGCCCCCAACTCATCTCCTTCTGCCATCACGAGCTCCTCCAACCCTAGCTCGCAATTGCTCCATTCCGATTAATTTCACTCTCAAAGGTACCGATAGCTTCCCCTACCTTTGAATTTGTGCATGTTGAGGCGAGAGGAGGCCTACTCCGAGTTTGAACGCGATCTAATTGTTCACAAGCTCTCGCACTCCAAAACCGCATGCCAAGTGTTTGATTAAATACCCGAACCAAGAACGATGGCTGGAACAGGCACTCGATCGAATAAAAAGGCTCCCGCAACTTCGAAATCCAAGGCGCTGCCTCCACGACTGCTAATCCCGACTCGACAGCCGAAGCCCAAAACCTCGCTCAACTATACGGTGTCCCTTTCAAAGTCTACTCTACAAACGAGGTCACGGACTATCAGCGGCTCGTCGCCAAGCGTTTTCTTAATCCACACATAATCGACTGGGAATAATTCAACGACGAGCTCGGGATTGGTGATGATATCCACCGCTACCTCAACCTACTCGACCTCGAGGAATTCGAGAACATGCCGACCTATGCCTACCGGAATTTATCCTTGGGGTTTTTCAGCACAGTCGCTCTGCACGACAATGGCAAGTACCTCACTGCTCGAATGAACGGGAACGAGTACAAAATCACGGATAAGGTGTTGTGCGACATCTACGAATTTGACCCCAACATTCCGACATGTCACAGTCCCCAAGGATTTCAGTTCGATCCGCATTGGGCACTAATCTCCCCGTGCAAGAAATACAATAAGTTGGGGGCGTTGTCGGGTTTAATCACCGACTTAGCTCACGTGGTGATTCTGCGATACATCTCCCACATGATCTTTGGGAAGAAAGAGTCCAACAAGGTGAGTGCGGAGTAGGTGTTCATTCTATCGTCGATCACGAACGACAAATTGGTTAGCCTGCGCCAGTACCTCAAGGAGTCCCTCTATGACATACACAATGACACGAGATGCGGTCCGACTTTGGGACATGTGGTGACAAAGTTGGCCAACCATTTTGGAGTACACGTTGATGAGCCCAAATACCTCGCCAAATGGTTTTCGGAGAGGGATCTCCATCATGGCGATTTCCTTAGAGACAGCACACATCCGCGCCCCGTCTACAAGCAGAAAGCTTATGAGGCGTATTGTAAGGCGAATGGTTTGCCCTGGCCCCATCCTTCGGAAGCCGGTACTTTGGCCGGTCCCGATCCAGCAGATTCTCACGACAACCACAGGGATGATGATGAGGCCAACTTACACCCTGCTGATGACACCATTCAGCCTCTCTTGTCGAGGGATGAGTACGCGGGTGGGTCTTCCCATTCGGGTGCTCCAGCTTGGTTTACCGAGTATGAGGCTTGAAACGAGGCACGTTGGACATCATTCGTGAAGTCCAATGACGAGCAGTGGGCGGAACAGACCCGTCGATGGAATGAGTTCGTCCAGAACAAGGACGCCCACTGGACAGCTCATGACGGCCGATGAGACACTTGGGCGAATCGGCAGTACCAACAGAGGAACTCATGGGATACTCGTTTCAGCCAGTGGGACACCCGCTGGAGTGCGGGAAGCAATGACCCTTCGCAACTTCCACCATCAAGTCACTGTGCTTTGTACGTTTTTCTTTCCCTTTCTTTTTCTTTCTGTACAGTTCATTTTATTTTCAAGTCGGTTGATTGTGTAGTTAACTTCTCTGTACTTCGAATCGACAATGGGGACATTGTCTAATTCTATGTGTGGGGGGGTTTTTGCATGTTTACATGGCTATATGGTTTTCCAGGTCTAGTTTTTTTAGGGTTTATTGCACCAAATCCCCTTGTATTATATGAAATCTGCGCGTTTTCCCCTGGTATTTCAAAAATTGCGTCAAACCCCCTTGCATTTAATATCTGCATGCATACTCGCCATTTGATGTTAACGCCGTTACTTTAGTGCTGACGGCGTTACTTTTTTGTCGAATTTACCATTCCATCTTTACTTTATCAATGAATTTACCATTATACCCTTATTGTCAAATATGTTGACTTAAATATAAAGTACCAATGGTGGGGATTGAACCCATGACCTTTGGGTTGTAAAAGTGAACTCTCCACCAACTGGGCTACAATTCATTTAGTTATAAATCTGATTTCATATATAACAAATAAATATATTCCAAATAATAAATAATATAATGATTGCATAAATATTATTTTATATTATAAATAATAAAACGATTCATTAAATATATATCAAATTAAAAATAATAAATGAGTGAATAAATTGATTCTACATTATAAATAATATAATAATTGAACTAAAGTATTATGATAATTATAAATTATAAATAATATAATAATTTAGTATGTAGATTTTGTAATAATTGAATAAATAGATGACGTCACGCTGTTCGGGATTCGCTGCAGGAGCCTGAGATTGAGCAAGCTTCTGACCGTCGATTGCGGAGGGACGGTTCGGCAAAAGGTTGGTGTCGCTCCTTGACGGAGGTCTCTGCCTGGTCTGGGTCGCCTCTTCTTCTTCGATTGCGAAACTATGGTTCTGCCTAGATCGCCGGGTGAGATGCGTGCTTTACTGCGGTTTTGGTTGGAGGTAGGTCGGAGGTCGGTGGTTCCGTTGTCAAGGTACCGGCAGCCTCCGATTGATGGTTGGTATGGTGCTGGCGGTCGGCGATTTGACCTTCTCTCCATTAGATTTTGGATGGTCGGTCGTTTGGGGGCTTGGGCTTCTGGGATCGGGTCGTTGGAGCTTGGTTTGGTTCGGGCTCTGTGCGACTGTGGTGGGGCTGGAATGTGCGTGGGTCGGTCGGTGGGTGGGTCGAGACTTTAACGGCTTGTTCGTTAGAGTTGAGGACTATTAGCAGGCCCTTTCCGGTACTCTGGTGTTGGGTCCGGGTTTGGGTCCAGAGTATTCCGGCTCGGCTAGTGGTGTTAGGCGTGTTTGGTTTGTTCTGGCTTGGGGTTTGCTCTTTAGTCCCTCTCGGTTGGAGGTGGGTCGATTCGGGTTAGGTTTGGGGTCCGGGTTTGGCTTCTGTATAGGCGTTCGGCAGCAGTTTCGGAAGTTGGATTGGGCCTCGGCTTATTATTTGAATCGATTGTTCTCTGCTGTCTCGACTCGTCAGATAGTTGGGGAAGGGCTCTCTCTTGTTTTGTAGCTTTTGTTTTTGGTTTTTTTGAGTCTGTGATAGGATTGTTTTTTTTGGTCTGGGTGTTTTTACCTGAGTGTTTGTGTTCTGTATTTTTTGTTTGGGCCGTTGGCCTCAGTGTGAGAAGGAGCACCTTATTCTCCTGTGGGGAGCAGCTCCTTTCTCTATTCTCCTGTGGGGAGCTTTCGTTGTAGTTTTTGTGTTTGGTAGTTTTGTCGGTCTGTGAGTCGTGTGTTTTTTT